TAAAAACTTAACTTTAAAAATTAAAAAAAAAAAAAAAAAAAAAGAAAAATCAGCAATTGCCTCCCATGCCTTCTTGGTAAATGAGGAGCTATACGATATAGTTTCACGCTTTATTTTTGAGGAAAGTCTCCAGATTTAAGCAACAGGTCTTAATGATAAATGAAAACATTAATATTGCAGTGGATTTACACAGAACATCACATTTTTAACAATGATTGATACAGAGTATGTCATGCAAATCACTTGTGTACACCAAGTAATACTTATATCAATACATATCTGTACAGTATTTACATTTTATATTTAAACTCTAGCTAGAAACATTTTCCAAGAAAATATAGAAATGAAACTGGTAAGCCACAAGTCTTTAATTTGTAGCATTTGGTCTACAACAGACCTAGCTTTTCCAGCAAGCATATCTACATAGATATGTAATAAATCTTAAAAATATGCATTGGTTTTATATATGAAGCATTATAAATGCTGCTCAGTTTACAAAGGTTCAGTTTTGTACCAGTTTAAAATGGTTCAAAATGTTAAGTGACGTAGAGCTTATTTTGTCAGAATATTGTAAATTTAAGTCAGTCCAGCTGAGCTTAAGTATTATATACAGCTCTCTCCCTAGGTTGCACTGGCAGCGTGGCTGATGTTAGTGGCCAAATGGTTTGGACGCCGAGTGAAGCCATGCACGTGGCAGAAGCAGCGGTGGCTTTTGCTGGCCCCTGCAGCTGTGAAGGGCAATGTTACAAAGAAAGAGCTGAAGAATTGTGCAAGTTTCAGTGCAACAGGAGGGGAGAAGTCTGTTGTCCCGGGAGGACTTTTCCTCAGCATGGCCAAACTGTAACAGATACTGCTTTAGGCCACCGAGCAGCTAGTCTGCGTAGCTACCCCTGGACTTGAAGCCCAATAAAAAAGGGAAAGGTTGAGAGATTTTTTCTTCACCCTCATGGATAGTACCTGATTTGGCCAAAATTTTCACAAGCCACTTTGTTTTACTGGCCTCGTGGCCAGTGGAAATTTTGGGCCAGTTTCACTCCCTGTTAATACTGTTACAAAATATTTGAAATCAAATATTATCACACACAAGAATGCTATTCCATTAGCTTTGGTAAATTAAATAGATATATTGAGCACCACAAATAGCTGTTTAAGATGTCGCATTTTAATGCTAAGAAATAATATATTTCCTGCTATAATATCCTCAGTTACATGTTACTCTAAATAATTATTTCTGCCGGATATAAGAACTTCAAACTAAATACAACAAATGAACTCTCAAGGCATTTCCTTCATGCTTATAGGCAGACATCCTCACCTGGTTAAATAAATAGATTTTCTTGAAGGTGATATTTCAGAAGATAAGAATTGATATGAAAGTGCTTCACGGCTTATTAATGGTTCTGTAATCTCACATTTCTCCAGAAATACTTTATTTGCTGCTTTTCACCTTTACACTCATTAGTACCACTGATTCTGGCGTATCACTATATGCATTACAAATCTACTTGTCCAAAGCTAAAACTGATGTATGCGTTGCTTGAAAACGAAACTTGAAGTTGCAGAACAGAAGACTCAAAACAAGTGATGTTAGCAGCGCCATAATCATGCTGCTTTGCAAACCCAGGACATACAACTTGATTCTTTTCTATAAAGAGTTTAAATGCGTTCCATTAAGCAAAGATGTCCCCACGCTGACACTTGATTCTACCTCCTTTGGTTGAGTTTTACTCCCTTGAAAGTACTTGGATTTGAACACTCATCCAAGTAGACTGCAATTTCACACACTCTGAGGAAAATCTGAGGTGTAGAAAAGTTCACTTTGTTCTTTTCCTCTCGGCCTTTTTTGGCAAACATGCAATAAAAGCAAAACATTCACAGGCTGACACCCCATGCAAAATAAGGCAAATTAGTAAGACAGGAACAATGAAACAGGCTCTCCCTTACAGTTAAAAGGAGATTTGAAACAGATCAACTTAAAGTCTGTGGTTTTGACAGTGCAGCACAGTTCCCTACAATGTATCCAGAGATGCTTCTGTACCTCCAACAAGCAAAATTGCTTTGACAAGTACTGGATTTCCAAAGCATTCATTGGCACAGTAGGCACAGCTCAGGTTCAACAAGTCTGTGAAAACCTGAGCACTAACAGAAGCAGTAGGGTCCGAAAAACCCCTTCTTCCCCCATTGTGGAATTAGGGGCATTACCTTAAGAATGGTATTAGGGGCTTTATCTTAAGAATGGTATGTGCCCTACCAACAGAAAAGCATTGTAGTAAAATGTGCCATAGCAGTTTACATGTTACTGAAAGACTATCAGTAGCACCACAGAAAGATCTTCCACAAATTACAAAAAAAAAAAAAAAAAAGACGACATGCTTGTGGGGGAGCTTAAGTGCACTAGGTAATCGATGTGTAAGATTTTATTTTTTTTAAGTAAAAATAAGGATGTCTACTCATTTTTTCAATTTCAACTGCTGAAGCACTGATCTGAAAAATCGCCTTTAAGAATGCAATAAAAATACCGAGCTTTTCTGTATGTCCAAAGTTTGTTATCAAGCAAAGGAATGAATCCTGCTTGCTTAACTCTCTAGGGCTGTATCCCACAGAAAGATTTCACCTTTCTGGTTTTTCCCTTTAAAAACATGAAATGCATGTGAAATTATTGGGGGGTATTTTCACATGCGAAGCCTAAACTCATGCAAGCCCTGTCATCTTACTCCTTTAGTAGCAACTTAGTGTTAATTAAACTACAACATATCTAAAACATAAGAAGGATGTTACTATATAAAAAGCAGACGAAACCAGTCATTAAATCTTACTGCTTATTGTGAGTGTATGAGCAGACAGGAATGAGTTTTAGCCTACTGGCAAATATCAAACCACATCTGTACTTAGTGTCAGGTCTACAGGCTCAAACCTTTGCTGTTGGGACCTGCATACGTTTCAGTGCATATCAACCAAACCCTTTGGCACAACTAGTTAACTACGTAGCTGCCAGTCTACCACTGAGTTGCATTTCTGAAGAAGAAAAGCTACTTCCATAAAGGTAGGGGAGCAAATCCTAAATGAAAGCTTCGCTCAGCTGTTCATTTACTGCGAAACACCTAAGACTTGAAAACTGATACTGAGATTGTGGGGTTTCTGCTTATAGAAAAATTAAGTGCTAGATCACTCTGTACTCCGCTTCTGGTGCTGCATTTTAGCGAGAAATGAAAGTCTGATAATCACTCCTCCTTTTACGGGGAAAAAAAAATAACAGGTACAGGACATTTTACTGTTAGCCTCGAATTCCTTCCCTCCCAACCCAAGTAAACGGGAGTTCTAACTAATATAAATGAAAACAAGGCTTCCATGTTTTCAGTTGAATTAAGTTCCAATATAATCTTTCTCCAGGATTTGAAGCTTACTTCAAATTATATGCCAATAACAATTTACCCTGAACGGTCTTGCCAAGTTTTTATGTCATAGTAAAGTGTATATATATAAAATTTACAGTTACTGTCTTTGTTTAGTTTGTCCAATTTTTACATTATCACTCAATTGTATGCTCATTTATAGGTTGATGCAGGTATACAAGTTGCTGGTCATGTTCTATTTCTTATTTGCAATTCTTCGTTTCCTTGTTGCCAGCATGTCATAAAAGGGATCCCTGCTGATACTTGCTCTAGAAGAGAAAAAAGGAATCATCAGTTTGGTTAACAAATACCTGTTTTTGAAAACTAAAACCATTTTGTTCTCTCTTCCCTGTGGATGACTCCACACTCTTAATAAGATAATGGATGGTTCACTTCTAAGCATCACAAATATTTCTTTAGAAAAAGATGTTATTCAGCTGCGATTTGTTAAGAGTTCATACCTTCATCTTGACCATTATTTGTTTCTTTAAGTGTGGGTCTGCTTTTTAAACCTTGCAAGATAAAGTCAAGCTGTGAAAGTTTAAAGCTGCACTGTGAACATGCTTAAGATAGATATCACTGAAGGTAATTATTAGGTGAAGTAAGAATCTAATAAAATTAGGGTTAAAGACGATTCACACAAGGCTTTACATTTGCCTAAAAAAAAAAAAAAAAAAAAAAAATCCACATTTTCCTCATTTGAGTTAGTAGCACTATTTCCTGAAGACCAGACAGTAACAGGAGACTTGTATCTTAATTCGTCAACCCCACTTAGCTTGTCATTAATCCTAGAGGACACTGCCACATCAGAATTCTTCAAATGAGTTAGAATACAAATTTTCTTAGTATCTTACTCCAAAAAGAGCTTACACTTCATTTCTGAAAGACATTTAAGACTTTAAACTCACTTGATAGATTTAATCCACTCTTCTTTTTCTTCTGGGGTGGGAGCAGATATTCTATACACTACATGGTTGCCTTCCACCACTCTACCATCAGCTTCAGTCTTACATGCTTTAATTACTTGACCTTTATGACTGGGGTTATAGAGCTCAAAGCAGTTCTGGAGGGTAGCAATGAAGAAATAAATTTTAAAAAAAAAAAAGCAAACCAAAACTGACAAACATCTTCAGTTAACACTACATCAAAGGTCTATATGGTTTACTTATCTTCATTTTTAAAACAATTATGAAAATATCTTACTGGCTTTCTAGGGTCTTCAACTTCTCTTATGCTAAGATTTTCTAATGGAATAATTCCTCTAGGTTCTTTGTCCTAAAAAGCCAGGAAAATAGCACATTATTAGCCACTTAAATATCTTGATCACAAACCAAATTCACTGTAATATATACTCACTGTTGTGTATTCAAAGTAATACAGGCAATTATCAGTCAGAATAAACCATCTCCGTTTCCACGTTTTTACTCTTCCCCCTACAATCAAAAGGTATGGCTGAATTAAATGTGTGTTGCTGTCAAGGCTTCAACAATGGATAAGAAAATAATTTAGTTTTGCCTGTTTTTCAAAATATGGCTTAATTACTTAATTGTAAATGGATCAGGCACAGATGAGCTGAGGTTAAAGGAACATGTTACTGTAACTGTAACTGTAAAGGAACATGTTACTGTTACTAAGATCAAACTCCTGAGACAGCATTAACTATGGTGTTGCTGACCAGCCACAAAAAGCGTATGCTCTAAAGTTGTAAATGTCAACTGTCTTACAGAGAATGAATGCAATAGTTTAGCAGACGGACCCGCTCCCTCTGTCCATGCCATCAGCATTGTTTACTGCATCAAAAATACTTATACTATACAGCTCTCAGAAACGCAGTCAGTGCTGCTATGGCAAAGGGAGGCCAGTCACCAGCAAAACCAGTAACTGGGTTCCAGCAACAGGACCAACCCTCTCCACAGCCTGTCTTGTACAAGGAAAGGGTCCCATCAATAAAATTAAGGGCATTTTATCCCCTTCTTTTCACTCCACTCATGAGCATATGTGTGATTAAGAACCTATCTCTACTTTCAGATTTAACATCAAGCGCGTAAGATGCTTATAAACATTATTAGCAGAACAAATATGATGTATCATCAATAAGGAGCAAATCCTATGCCAAAATGTACCATTTTTAGTCACTTTTCCTCATTTAGTATTTTAAAAACATGTTCTCTTTACAGGTTTATATATCATTGAGTACACCTGACAGAAGAAATAGCTACTGCTCCAAAATCCAATTTTTCCTGCATTAACAGTTTAGACAACAGCAACCATAGAGCTCCTCTTTCTCACACCTGCTAATGTCACACTGTAGGGAACAGTTCCTTTAGAAACACACATTATTTTCTCAGCCCTTTCAGCTGGTTTTCTGCCATCGGCCACTTCAGAACATGTCTACCATGCCACAATTACATTATTTTTAAAACTCATTTCCAGGAAAGACAATTGTAGATAAAGCATTCACATGTTACTAATATACAGGCTTAGTTCCACCATAGTTATCTGACTTCAGGATTATGTCACCACCTGTGCATCATCCATTCAGCAATGATTTAATCTCATTAACCCAACATCTCAAAATAGTTGATCTTGCTATTGAACACCTGTGCATAAAAGAGTAGCATTAATACAAACAAGATCCCCAATTTAATCCAAGTCGTATAACTAAATCTAAGACAGAAACAAAATTTTTTAATCTTTTTGTTCTACTTGAGATAGCTGGGCTTTTGTTTAATACAGAAATCCAAATCATATTAAGTTGAAGAACAATTCTAGAGATATAATGAAATTTCTTGATACCAGCCTACTACATGTTTGCATTGCAGACCCAGTATGTTGCATGTCGTATCTTCCTTTTGCTTGGTTGCATGACCTAAATGGTAGCCCAGTGCTAGCACACTGCAGTGTTCAATGTACTCATACGTTTCCACTACACGCACACACATCTTAAGAAAAATTTAATCTGCAAGCAGGTGCGGTGAAATAAGAGAAGGCAAAATAGTGCAAGATGCAGAAGCTGTGACAGAATGAATGGTTGAGTGAACTGGAGACAGTGAGGGAAGAACTGGTGGCATTTTAGTACAACCACTGTGACAGAACCTTAAATAAAGCATTTCAGAAACATTCAAACTGGCACGTAAGTCACTAGAAAAATTCCCATCACCTTGACTGAGAGCTGGTTCAAGTATCGGGAAGTATTTGGGCTAGGAATGGAAAGTTGATGAACTTTAGCTTGACTCACTTCCAGATCAATGAATAAGCAGCAGCTGAGTCAAGATGACTGCCAGGGCAGTCCTTGCTATTGCCGTAACATGACATTTTTTCATATAACCCAATGTTCATTGCCGTGATTTTAAGTCACATTCTGCTCTCTAAGGTTAACAGGTTGACATCATTTAACATTTTTACGACACAAAAACATCATCACATTTTTCAGGCTAACAGGTAACATCAGCTAGCGTCAAATGTCATGGCTTGCCCAGTTCCAGTAGAAAAACAACTCCACAAGAGAGAGGATGAAACAGACAGGCAAAGAGATTACCATCACAGAGGCAGCTTAAAATGAACAAAGGTGTTTCTCATAAACTGTGGTATCATGTCAAAACACAATAAAAAAAATAATCAGGTAATAACCATATATTTAAAAGAAGACCTGCTTATAATTTAAGGCAGAAACAACGGTCTTAAAACACACACCTAGAATAATATGAAGTGCCAAATAGCAAATGACAGTTGAGTTTGCTGAAATTTTTCCTGACAACATACCCCCTCTTTGGAAAAGCCAGATTGCTCAAACCTGAAACCTTTTGTAATCAGTCTTGATGAAGCTTTTGTCATGAACCATTTCCCAGCTCCAGGATCGTATTGGTGTTGAAGCCAAAAAGAAGATTAAATATCTCCCAACAACATCTGTCTTGCTGCTCCCTTCTCCCTCAAACAGCCAGTAGCTCACCAGGTTACAGCACTCACCTGAGTTGTGGACATAGACCCTAAGTCCCTGCTCCACCAAGCTATGAGTTACTCTTGTCTTCCAGAAAAAAAGCAGCAAGGCAGGATTTTTTGGCAGGATAAGGAACTAATCTCACATGTAAGTCTCTCCCTCCGCACCCCATGACTTGGTGGCAGCTGTCAACAGCACAGAAACTCTAATAAAACTTGAAAGGCAATCTAATCTGTACTCATCAACTTTGCGGGGGTCACCATATAACATGTATTTAATATGCCTTTACAATGGGCTAAACCCAAGAAGCTGGTTGATAAGGCTTTGTGGCCTGTAAACACTGCATGCAAGATTAGGGGGTAAGAACTCGTGATAACAAAACATTCTTTTCCTTGGCCGAGATTGCTGTAGGCTCACAATACAACAACAAAGCGTTTTAGTACCATACGTCATATCTTATTTGAGCTCCCAGCCTTTTAAAGATTAAAATTGGAAGGAATTAAGTTGGCAGAACAGGATCAAGAAAATCAGAGTATGAATCCATAAACATTTACAGAAATGGAGAGATACAAGTAATGTACTTCTCAAAGATCTGATTAACTAAAATGCAAAGACATCTCAAACAACAAAATAAAGCAGCATGATATCTTGTATGTGGAAAACTAGGGAAACTAGAAGAAAAGGTCACAAAAAGGCAAAATGTACAGAAAGAGGAACAGAAACCCTCCTCACCTATGTAACCCAACATAGGATTATTTTTTTTCCAACTCTGGGCAAAGTATAAACTAGAGAACAAGGTAAAAGAAACCACCTATACTAAAGGGACAAACAACTGGCAATGACTTAGAAACACCAATTTCAAAATTAAAAAAGGCCTTAAGACTAAAGGCAGCAATGTATCTAAAGTTAGAAAATTCTACCCCAATCTTCAGCACATTTATATAAAGTTTTAGAGGGGAAAGAGGTGCACACATCAAGAATGTTTTTTTCTTCTCAGTTCATTTAGATACCACTAGGTGGAATGGACTCAGAAACTGTACAGCTATACAGATGACTGGATCGAAGTTTGGGTTTCTTCGAAAAAGAAGTTTCCCTCGACTGCAACATTAACTGCCTAAACCTAGAAGAGCATCAGTTACTACGAGAGCCAAGCAGGTACCGGAAGGCACCAGTTTCCTGATGAACCACTGCTATTCTCTCGCCCCGGATTAGGGAAGAGAAACGACATCCTCTCAAGGACAGATGCGCTGGAATAAGCACCGCTGGCGGGACAGGCCTGGATGCGAAGCTTTTGGACAATCTCCAAGCTCTCAGTAACTGCCTGACTGGCAGAAAAAATTAACACGATCATGTGTCTGGCTTGAATCATTTCCTCTCCAGTTTGGTGGAATAATGTCACAGTTTCCCTCTAACTAGAAGAAAGTATTACACAAACCAAGCTATTTGCCAAGAGAAGCTGGTTTAGGCACGGAAACGCCTCCATGTGCAAAACAATTGTAACTTGGGCATTAGGAGAGAGAGCACAGACAACCATTTCAAAATACCTTAAAGTGGGTGGCAGAAAATGTCATGGTACCAACACCACTAATAATTTATGCAGAAAAATCTAAAAGCTCGTAACGTCTCAAGCTGCTCTAAGTGAGGATTCATTAGCACTCAGCAGCTTTCAGTTTTTTACTTGTAGCATTCATTTTCATTACACCATACTTCAAACAATGTAGAACTGAATGATAATTTAGGTTTACTGCGATACAGATGTCTATATAAAGGCACCAGCTGAGTCTAGATAGATAAAACCAGAATTGTTGTCTGGCTGCCAGGTTTGGCACTCAGACTTTACGCAAAGTCACCTCTGAACAATTCAGACCAGCAAACTCTCCAAAAGCATTTTGCACCCTCCCAGCTTTCTAAAACCCAGTGCCAGGCTAGAGAGTTAGGGTGGTCTTTAGGGCAGATTAATTTTACTATATATGAAAGTTTCATGCTATTCATCTCCTGCCCAGAGGATAATCAATACAGTGAGCTGGAATACTAAAAAGAGGGGCACAAGTAGATAAATGGGAAGAGTTGACTATAAGAAAAAACAAATACAAAAGGATATACGCAGGGTTTGGGAGATGTCTTCGTCTTAACTTTCTATTTCAACTTTTAAGTATGACCACAACTGAGCACTTAAACTCTCATGCAGGAATAAAGTCTCCTTAGCATTTCAACAATATTGGAACTTTTAATATCAGCATCTTCCAGAACTGAAGGAAACCCTATCCATTTCACAAGAAGTGTTTCCCAACAGAAAGGACTGTAAAAATGCAAACAATGTGGATTGAAACAGCGCTCTCAAACATAGAATTTAAGCCTCCCAGCAAATAGGAAACTCAAGGTAAAAAAAAGAGAAGAGAGGGGAAAAAAAAGGAGAGGGGGGAAAAAGAACAGTGCCATGTTTATTTCTGGTCACTGCATCTAAACTAGCAAAATGTATTTGTCTACACTGGTCAGTGTCTGCTGAAAAACCCACAGTCTTTCATGGAAGCGCAGCTTCACACATTTACAGGCTGATTCACTGGAGGCTTCTGGACATGTTTCATTTCTTTATTCAAATAACCCTCATGCCGTGTGAGTGTTACGTGCAACACCCTTCCTTTTCACACACACTTTTACTATTGGGTTTTCTGTGCACTGTCTCTCATCTACATTGTACATAATGAAAAGTTGGGTTTATTGACCTTGCACCAGAGCCAGAGATGGATTGTGCAGAAGTAACTGGCAGCTCTCACTGACTTTCAAGTCACCTTTCTTCTTCAATTTCTTTGTTCCTCTATTTTTTATTAGATCTCTTATATGTCTTTTATTGACAGTTTCTTCCACAAGGGATGTTGTCACTCCCCTACACGCACTCACACTCTTGCTTGCACTCTCAGTACGTGTACTTTGAGAGAGCACTGGCAGCAGAAAGAGAAATATGCACAGCATGGGCTTACACCCTACCTCTTCTCCAGAAAGCACATTTTATCTACTCATCTTGAAAGCCTTTCTGTTGAGATAGCTATCGCCTCATGCTACAAAATGGAGAAAAGCTGCAAAGTCATCTTTGAAATTGTGCCAGCTGAACCAACGCGCATCAAAAAGCAAGAGCTTTGCTTTTTTGTAGTTAGAAAGACAAAGAGCTCTAAAGCATCTGTAGCACAGAGGTCCAAATAAGACATTGGAGAGCATGCGAATTAATTACAAATGCTTCCTTTTCACATCTGTTTTCTTCCAGCACTAGCATGACCACTAATTTCCAGGTGCAATCAGTAGAGCGGGCCTGTGGCTCTAACCAGGCTCCACTTTCACCATACTCGCCCCCATGTGCCCCACCCGGCACACATCCCTTTCCATACTTTAGTCATCATTCTCCAAGTACAAAGTTCCTTCTACTTTAACAAGCAGTTATACATTCAAGTGGCCAACAACTGGCTCTGTTGGAGCGTGCACTGGTGTTTTATATAAAAGAGGTTTCTTTCATTGAAAAACAAATGTTAAAATAAAATTTCAGTCTCCTTTATATAGGAAAAAAATTCCCTAAGGCCAAGTGAAAAAGTGAATCCCGTCAACTTTAAGAGAGTCTGTAAACAAGGGCATCTTGCAAAGGGAGACTGCAAATTACCAGAGGTTTCCGCAACCCTAAATTAGGTGCTCATTTAAGATTCTGTTAAGTAAGCTAAATACATTATTTACAAAGGGAAATAAGCAGGAAAATAACAGCTTTTACAAATGCATAGTTCAAATGTAATCAGTCTTTCAATAATCTAATTGATATACAAGTAACAAAATCACTCTAGAACTTCATCACAAGAATAAGACGTGTTTTTTTCTCTCAGTAGAAATTATTCTTCCCTTGTTATGTTCTTCAATGAAGGAGGGAGGTATGCTGAATAGTCATCTTTATTTTTCTGCTTTACATGTAAACACTTTGTTCTTTTGCAGAAGACACTTGCATGTGAGCTAGACACTGACATGCCAGTCTTTCAGAGCACACTGATGATATTGTTAGTGACACTGAGTGAAAAAGCAAAATGCTACAATAAAGTTGATTTAAAAAAAAAAAGAAAAGAAAAAAAACCAGGAGGAAGGACGAAGAAAATAAAAGAATGAGCAACTGAAGAAGAGGGGACTGGAAAGCAATCAGATACGTACCTCCTAATGCAGAATAAGCAGAGACAGCCAGTCACAGAACAGAAAGGTGATAGGTCATAGGCCATAAGGAAAACAAGAAGGCACATTTAAACCACTCATTAAAAAATCATAGCCAAAACCAAACCAAGAGAAACTCACAAATAATATGGAAAAATAAAGACATACAAAAATAACTATTTGAAGAGAAATCCTTTTTTTTGTACACAGAAAACTGAGTTGAAATATCGCACAGTTTTCTGAAATGACCTTATGGAGACTTAGTTGTTATTTATCAGTCACAGCATGTAAATACCATATGGCGTTTCCTTTTTGTTGCTGAGTTTTTATTTCTCATATATCAGAAATAAAACTCCAAAGTTTGAAACAAGATTCCTGATTTGGATACATAAAATAAGAAGTAACAACCTTCAGATGTGAAGGAGTTACTAATTTTGGTTCATACATTTTTAAATACAAATTACAAAGTTAATCCTATTACCTTCACAAGAAAGCAGATAGACACGGAAGCAGCAAACATGCTAACAGAGAACAAACATATAGCAGCAAAACTGCCCTTATAACTAACCTAATTTCAGCAGCCAACCTTCTCTATCTGGATTAAAAAATGTATGCGTTAGATCATTTCCATCATCCTCTGGAATTTTAAACGGCTCATTCTTAATACTTTCATATAAATTCTAGAAGAATAAAAAAAGAGGAAAAAGACCTCATTAATAAATGTCTAACAGAAAATGCAACCAGGACATCCTACTGCTTCTCAGACTATTTGTACAAAAAGCATAGGAAACACAGTCCATAAAATTCTGGACTATCCCTTCTCAATCATTATTTACTACTTTGATTAAGTTTGATTTTAAACTAGTTCATCTATAAGTAAGAGTCTCTTTTTTACAGATTTTATAAGCACTCCTAGCAAAGACATTTTTTCTTTACCTTCAGCATTCAATATTTCAAAGATTTCAGCTTCAGGTCTCATTTAGTACAAGTTTTGCCAAATGAATCTGGGTTTTCGGAAAATGGTTTAGACCATCACACTGTCTTAGACAAATAAGTATTTTTAATCTCAAGGGACAGGAGGAAGCTCCACACATGGACACATGGAAAGAAATGAGAGGCAATAACGAAACAATGATTTTTACTACTTTTTCCAGCTTTCTCTGACTTATCCAGAAATACTACTTCCCCTCCCTCCTCCCCCTCCCCAAGAAGCCAATTCCACAAGAATTTTGCCATCAGCAAACTATTGAGAGATATACAGAGTGTTTTCTCTGGAAATCTCCTTTCCCTAACAGAAGATTGAATATAGGGAGAAATAGCTCAAAGCAGCTGTGAATGTCAGAAAATGCTTCTTTCAGCTACTCAAAAGGTTATGCATGCTAGAAAATGTTCTTCTTACTTTCCCTCGACAAATCTGCCTGAGAACTGTTGTACACACTTCTAAGTTTCCTATTAAAAACACAAAGCAGTATCTTGTCTTACCCAGTCTAACTTACCCGTAGCAATTCTTCTGGAAGGTCCCCACCTTCATTAATTCCACGATTCATAGAAATAAACCTCTCTACTGTTGGTTTATCTCTTACATTGTGGTTGTGTAGACTGGTATTTAACATAATGATCGCAAATGACAGCACATAGCATGTATCTGAAATAAGATTTGAAAAATCATTTAACTCTCTGTGTGTTGTGGCAGAAACCTGTAAAATGAATATATAACTCATCCTGACTGCTAAAGAAAAAGAAACATGTAGTCAAAAAATCCTGAACGCTATACATGAAAGCAAAGTCTCATCTTTCTTTAAACTGTTGAAGTAAGCCTAAGCAGAAAAAATAGGTTACAATTCAAATTAAAAGCCAGTATGAGAAAAACAGTAGAAGAGAATTCAATTTTTTTTTTTTTAAACTTTCTGAAATCATTGCTATCACCCTAAATTAACATTTCACTTAAAACACTGAAGCGTCCTTGGGCAAAATGTTCTCTGCACAGAGATTTTGCCTAGATTATATTGGTAAATCCTATAATAGACTTGGTCGATCAGACTCCTACTCAAAGTACTCCCAAAGCTTTCTCCAAAGAGAAAGAACAGTCTCTTCAAAATAATATTTGAACTGCATTTAAACAGACTGAAAATTACATTGACTCAATTTCTTGGCATACACAAGGTGGCTAGTACCACTGAAAAAGATGACAAAGGAGATCTTATCATGCCTCTTGACATGGTTATGATTACAGTAAATTCTCCCAGAATTCAAGTACAAGATCCTGTGTAAAAAGCAGGATGGAAACCTCTCTGCTACACAGAGGAAAAATGTGTTTGCATCGTCAGCATTTTGTTTCAGTAAGTATTTTCCTCTCTAGCTGTTGCAGACCTGCTTTACATAACCTCTTCCTAGCCTATTTGTTCCTCAAACTAAGTGGTCAACAGCAAGCTATGTGTGCATATAACTAAACAGACCAACAATGCCAGAATGCTAGGGCATCCTGTGCAGTATCATAAAGTTATGTTAGCTTTTCTGACTTGAGTAATTCTAAACCAAGTAATTCCATGGAAAACTGAGGTGCATTTCTAATTGAGATAAACTATTGCAGAACACGCTGCTAAAGAGAAAGGATACAGTCCTCATAACAAAAATGGATGACTTCCTAGATAATATACTATAGTCATGTATAGGTGGACTTGATACAATCAGGTGTAAAGTCCTTGTAACTGACAGACAAGACTACCCAACCTATTGGTCTCTTCTGCCTTTAAGCCCCTGAGAATCTTACTTTTCCAATTCCTAGCCAAAGTCTTTCATGACATTCCTAAAGTGTGTTTTATACTTTAATTGGCTTAATATATGTTAATGCTAAAGTTTTATAAACGGAAATGCATTCTGACCATAAGCTTGCACCTCCTGGAAACAAAGGGTAGGATTAGACAGTTGCATTTTCTCAGTTCTCAGAAATTTCTCATTTCACATATTATTTTATCCTGAACTTCTAAACTGGCCATCGCCTCCTTGCCTCAAATGTAGAAGAAGATATATGATCCAAAACACATATATATATATACATATATATACTTAAGAACTCCTATTGTTTCCTGTGACTAACCTGTAGACTGGAAGACTCCTGGGTTACAAAGGCAATAGCGTGAAGCAAAAGCTTCCATCATACGATCAATTTTTTGAGCTTCTCCTGGGAGTCTGAAGCTCCACAGAAACTGCCTACAGAAGGGAAAAATAGTTGTTAGACTCGTTCCCGTATTTATATATTAAGCATATACTACTAATAATTAGAAACAAAACAAAACAAAAAAAATCAGCAACGTCTATATAAAATGCCCTAGAAATATGTTCTCAATCTCTCAATAGACAAGTCAGGAGCTATTATAAAGCAACATGCACAGATGGCTAGCCCAGTAATTCAGCCAGCAACACTGCATGCTATCAGGCAAGATAATATGGCAGTTCATATTCTGAGACTCTCTTTTTTCCAGACTAGTGAACAATTTTCTGTATGCATCCCATTTTTGCCATGAGAATGCTATGGGGAAACAATCAGTTCAATCCTCCCTGGGTTTCCTGGCTACTAAAAGCAGTAAACATTCAGCTAGACTTTACTTACAATGTAAAAGTTTACAATGTAAAAAGACACATTACATAAAATATTTCTTGTAGGGGATCAAGGAATACAAAAAACACTCAACATCTTTACTTGAACTCCTTGAACATTTAAAAAATAGTAACAACAAGAAAAACCCCAGTGCTTGAGAGGTGCTGCCTGTCTAGTGTAAATTCACCCCACAAGAATCAGACCCAGATCTTAAAAATAAAAGACTCATGATAACACCTCAGTAATTTTGTAATATATGCAGGAGATCTGTGCTCCTGTTTAGCAGCATGAACTGAAATAGAGTTTTTACATTTGTAACTTACTATTTCTACATATAGGTACACTGGAATGCATACAGGACAGAAGTCTTCACAAATTTACTTTTGGCACACTGTGGCGCTAAAAAGCTCCAATGAATTTTATCACTTATACTTTTCTTTCTTAGCAAAAGAATTACCTAAATTAAACCAGGATCTAAACCAGCAAAGTTACATGCTCTGCCATGCAAAACAAGTTCTCAATATTCCTTGTATGCTGGGTGCCAATATATAACCATTTATTCCTGTCTTCATCACTTTTCATTTTAGGACATTATATTAAAGTGTCGCAGGCCATCTTTAGTTTGTCAGCTCTATATACTGTCTTTTACTCACCTCATGCAAGGTTCCAACCCAGATCACGAATTTTGTAAGCTACCAAAATACAAACATTTAATAGTAGCAGCTGCTAAGGAAGAATAAAGTCAAACCTAACGTTAAATTGGGTAAAAGAGACAGGAATATGAAGCCTCCCAGACAAGCTTCAGCAGCCAGATAAAAGGCTTCCTTAGCTCAAGCCTCAAGCAGCTCAAGTTATCATCACCACATCACTCAACCATAGCAAAGCTGTTCTGACTCCACATCACAAGGCCCTGCACCTGAGACAAAGATCACACGGACATTTCAATTTATCTGGTGTCAGGAGGGAGTCACTTGTGTCAACAAAACTAGCAGAACTGTCTAAATCAACTTAATTTGCTAGATCTATTATGGATTTCCACCAAGACGAGAAGGAACTTCACAAGGTCACTGTATGCTGGCATCCCAGAGAAACCAAATAAACGGTTCACTCAGTGAGGGAAAAAGTATACTAAGATATTACTCTTTCTTTCACATGACAAGTGGGAAACTGAGGAAAGGAGAACGAAATTACTTTGATTCAAACCTCTTAGCCATTGAACATAATCACTGATTATGGTCAGCAGGATTCCTCCCCTCCCCGCCCAGAGGAACAAGTTGAGGTGGAAGGAAAGGAGAAAGAAGATGGCAGCAAAGAAAATTATTTATTTGCTTGTGTTAGGGGTTTGTTTGGTTTTTTACCTATCTCTGTCAAATGTCCACATATGGCAGGCACAACGAAGAGTTGTGGCTATGTTTTAGTTGTTTGTATTTGTCTCAAATAATTAAAAGTTTTCACCTTCAAATGCAGCACACACACAAACAATTGGAAGGGTTAAAACAGAGCTGTCTCTGCTAACTTGCACAGTAACGCGTATAATCGTGCTGAGCTGCAGATCAGCTTTCTGATGAATAAATCAACACAGTGACTCCTATGAACATGCAATTTGATAAAGGAAGCTCAGGTCAAAAAAGACAAAGAATTTACTCACCTTAAGGCTTGTACAAGATTGAGATCGGCGAACTCATGGAGTTCAACAAAAGCCTGAAGAACTTTAATATTAAATTCATCTCTATGAAAGACAAAAATGGAAATAGACAATTACAATTCTGAACTTTAAAGGCTTGTTAGCTATCTCTATTTGCTTCCAAGAATCAGCAAAGAAGTAAATGATCATACTGATAAAATCAAGTCATCAGGAACAGTTTACATATTTATTTGAGAGGCATTTAAATATTTAACACTCGTATTTTGCTCATTTTTGCTCTGTAAATCATGAGTCAAATTATGCTTTGTTCAATACAAAGGTGTTTAAATGCAAAAGTAACATTTAAACATCAATGAACACAAAACTATTTGGATGCAGACAGAATTTAGTCTACACCATCACTGAGTTCATATGCCAGAAGTGTGAAGATTTATAATCCTCAGGGTGTGCTTTAAATACATCACCAAGACAGAATGTTGCATATCAGCCTCCACCCAAAAATAGGAAGGTGTGCACCCACCAAGAATTATCTGTTGCATTACTGACTAACTGCATAGTCAGACTAACCTGTAACACACACGAGTAAATACCTTAAAACAAACTATTCATTTGTTAGGATGTCCCCATATTGTTTACAGAAAAACTCATAAGCTCTGTCAAGCAAAACAAAGCAATCTTCATCAAATTTAGTAACGCACAATTCAACTGCGTGACTACTTTTCAGTGCAGTGAAATGAAGTAGCATAATAGCATAACAAAAGAGAGCACTCAACAGAGGTACTTTCTTACTGTAAACCAAATATTGATTTTGCTTATGTCTACGTAAAGCTGCAGTAATTCAGAACAAATATTAGCCTTACACTCTAATTTTTGCTCCTCTAGGTTTTAACGTAGACTGATTAATAGTGATACTTGTGCTGGGTACAGCTCCAAAGACACAAGCCAAATCTCATGAAAGGTCTAGGAAGCCACTTAAAAAAATAAGTGAAGACCTACCCACATATAAAGAAATCTTAAATCTTTTACAGGATGTAATTCATCCCTTATTTATTGTACATTTTTAGATACTATCTCGTTCCATTTTACCATTCACTTTTTTCAGTTTGCTGAGTGCTGTAACACTACAGAGTCAATAATTTAAAATATATCTCTTTATGGCAGAATGTTACACAAATATTTCATTCTGTTGACTATCCTGGTCTCGTCTTCAGGTATATTTAGCTAGAATGCAGAAATAATTCATGATGGGCCCCTGAGAGGGAGCGGCAAAGTAAGAGAATGCCCTCAGACTCCAAATGCCTTGACAAAAGACAGTACATAACTCAATAAAAACTCATCTATAATATGCACTGCCATTTGCATAGCACAAATCACTTAATAGCCTGTTTCTGAGGTAGTCACAAAAGCAAAACTAGCAGCTTAAGACCACCTCAATTGTCACATTTTATTTTATCCCAGGACCTAAAGGCCTAATATGTTGTTTTCAGAAGAACATGAATAAAAATTATTAGGATTCTAGGAAATTAACGTTGCAGTTCAAAGGAGTGTGATGAACCAATTCCCCATTCCAGACCTGACTACCCTAAAATGTCCATACACATTCCTGAAAATCAGATTGTCATCTCTTCACCTCCACCCTCCCTTACTAATTCATGTAAGTGAAGAAAAAAATGGACAGAAATACCATTTGCTTTCCCATTACCATATTAATATTACACCCTTCACAGAAATGAAGAAACATGCAAACCCAATTAAAGTAGACTGACTGGACACATTGAATAAAAGCTCCTTTTAAAGCAAAAAAAAAAAAAAAAAAAATTAAATTTATTTTTTACTTCAACTACTCCTTGAAATGGATAGGTTGCTTCTGCATTGTGGTAAAATAGGAGCAGTATATTCATTTTTTTCACTTCCTCTAAGATTTTATTATCCAGTTGACAGTTTATACAAAGTTTCCTGATCAAATTTGTTATTCAGTTTGACCACTATGTTTGTCTGTATTTAAGTCTTGAAAAATTCAGAAGATATAATTGAATTGCATATTTATCTGTGTGCATACTCAATATTAAGAAAGGTTGCCCTATATTTTCAGATTAGACCACAGTGCTGCCCAGCAGCATCCCTGCGAGGGATGCAAAACAACGAGCAATACATTTTTTAATTTTAAATGTGAACCCATAAATAGTCACACAAATATTATTGATGAATCCAGTGGGCCTGGACATATTGGTAAGACCCTTCTGCATGAGTACAGGGGTTCTGGGAATAAACAGGGCTAGAAAAACTGGAAGTATTTCAGAAGACAATGCCAAGATAAAATGCAGCTCTCAAAAACGAACACAGACTGCTTTATACAAGCTTTGTTACAGTTTTGCCATTATGGACAATAACGTATAAGTGATTTTATAATACTGATTGCCCAAATATTCATGAGAGACAACATAATGTCGTCATATAAAAATTGTTGAAATGTCTACATATACTGTATAGATACTTCATAGCCAACATCTATTTTCAAAACACACACACTACAGTGAAAACTTTCATTAAACCTATTAAAGTCAGGAGGAAATTGCTGAGCACAAACTAAGGCACCGATGCTGTAAACAGACTACAGGTGCCTCAAAAGGGATCTGCCAGAACATATTGCTACAGGAGTATATCCTAAATGAGTCAACTTTTAAACCTCCATAACTGGCGCCTGAACCGGAACATGTGCAAGCATGCAGATACACGTACTCTGACCCGCTCTTCACTTCCATCTCTTTCTGCTGCCTTTTTTGAAATCAATTCCTGGATTGCACAGCAATGGAAGTAATTTGCATTTTGATTGTGTTTTGCAATAGTATACATAAATATGCATGTTGCATGTTTACTGTACTAGGATTGATAAGGATACGGTGTGGTTGCCCTTTGAGATGCCTACTTACTAATGGAAAGTCTGTGCGCAGAAGAAGACACCACTAAAACCTGCTTATAACCACTGTCCCAGGAACTAGCCATTTTAATAAGTACTTTCTTTACTATCCAATTATTAGTGATTGTAAATCACTCCTTGCCTGGGCACAGTACCAAGAGTTACCAGAACTGTTGCAATACAACTCTCAGACGTTCCAAAAGCTTATGGTATTAAATTCTGCACTATAGCCAAATTTAAGGATATTTTCTCAAAATAGTAAGTTACAATAAATTAAATACTATTCCACAATGTACCCATTTAAAAAGAACAACAACCCAGCACAACACTGTAGTAGTTTTACTTCCCACTGTAGCTTTTATAGATCTGAGTAGTAGAGTAGCTACTCCACTACATGCAGCCTGTGAAGGGGAAGATAACTACCAAAACCCATAAGTACGCTTTGTAAACTCAAGAACAAAGTTTCAATATTTTTATTTTACCTTTCACCGAGGTAATCTCCAATTACCGTTTTATTTAATCCTTCTCCTTTATAAAGGAACTGTGCAATGTCTTCCGCAGTGTTCTGCAGGAGGTCATTTTCTATCAGAAACTGTATTCCCTAGGAAGAGCAATTCCAGAGGAAAAGGCATGTTATGTTTTTTTTCCACAAGCATTTATGTAAATACCGCTCATAACATTTGGTATTAATATACTGACACAGACATATACATAGTATATTAAGAATTACATTAGCCAACAGATTTTTTTTTAATGAAATGGTAAACAAATGTTTTTCAGTTAGAAAGGCAATATTTAGTATTGGTTTAAAGATTAAAATGAGAACACTTTTTTAAAGCTATAAGTACTAGGTGGCAGTTTGAATACCTCAACAGTAGAAATATCAAATATTAACTGAATAATGATTCCATGTTGCTCTTTGGAGTTAATACATGAGTTAGCCTGTTCACAATATTGCCTAAACGTCTGCAGAGACATAATCTGTAAAATCATATAATGAAGAGGTACATAGGAATAACTTCGTTACCACCATGACACAAAATAAAGCATCACTTGTAATTTACAAACTGCAACCCAATACATCAAGCCACTACTTACAGCAGAAGTCGTGGCTGAAGATACTGAAACCGGTTTAAAAGAGTTTATGCTGACACTGGGATTATCAGTGACTTCTGGTTGTGCTGGAACTAAACTATTCACAAAGGACTTGAACTAAACTACTCACAAAGGATTCTTCACGAACCAGTCAAGCTTCTACCATGGAGCTTCTATCAAAGCCAGGAGAAGTCTTACCCTGTCCCTCAGGGAGTACTTGATCAAGCCCCTGGACTCCTATGCCTCCATAAATTACTGGCCCTATAACTGGCACACTCTAGGGATGCCCAGAGAACTTTCTGCAAAGCGGTAAAGAAAGAAAGGAGACTAAGAGTCATATAAAGATTATGTAAAGGATGGAAGTGATGTTATTCCAATGCTCAGCAGGTCATGAAGAGACAGCGCTCTTTTTTTTTCCCCACCACACACCCCAACAAAGAGGTTGCTATTCCTGAGTTAACAGCATGCTAGTGAAAAGTAGGAATGGCAACTGTAAGTAACCCTAATGTCTTGGATTCCAAATAGGTACAGAAGAGCTTAATATTATTCCAAATGTTTCTACTAGAATATTTCATAATTTCAGAAATATTAGAAGTTTTTCAATTTCTGCAGATGGAATATATTTCTTTTTTATTTGATTATAAGTGGGAAAACTTCCATTATTTTTTGATATAGCGAGGCCCTGCAGTAACATTCAAAAAAGTAATTATTCTTCTGTTTGATTCTGGATTTTTATAATTAAATGGTTACCTGCCTGACAAAAAAAGGTCAATTTTCTGACCTAATTTAACAAAGAAAATTAACTGTGACGTTATAAGGCTTGAAGCTTTAAAAAAAAAAAAGAAGTCTGGAATGCAGTTATCCTCATCTGAAAACTTAGTTTCAATGACAGGCTGGTATTCCGACTCTGACAACTTAATATTTTGATAAGTCATTTCAGAACAGACATGATTTCATCGCAAAGAACATATCCATTTTATCTTGAAGCAGAAGTAGCTGAGCTTTCCTCAGAAATGATCCCTTCAAAGCTTATTTGATAACTATTCATACAAAAAATTCATTTGACTATGAAACATAATCTTTTTTTCCCATACCAAGTTATTCCAAAAGCTTTCTTGGCTCTGTTCACCAACAGAGAACCTTCCTTCTAACAAACGTCAGAAATAGCAGTTGCAGATTCCCTTGTTCAACACCTGGACCATATTATTCATGCTCAGTGTAAACAGACTGACCAGAACAGTTTTTAAAAAGTTGTACAAGTTACTGAAAAAGGTAATGGACATGACTAGGAGCATGGAAAACAAATTTCTGTGCACAAAAGACGATACTTTAACATACTACAAAAATCAATTTAATTTGCCTTTTGCTGGATTTTTTTTCCTGTTTTTTTTTTTGTTGTTGTTGTTTTTGTTGTTTTTTTTTTATTATTCTTAAGATGTTAAAGAACCAGAAGTCAAATAGGCAGGAAAAGGAATTTGTCTGGGACAACAACTCCAGCGTCTGGAATAAATGGCAAAATAGGTCACCCAAATCCTCATCAACTCCTATGCTATCTTTTGTCTTGATGCAAACTTTCTTTCTGTAGACTGACAGGAGACAGAAGACAGCTGTATTAGTTTGACCTCCCCACACAAAATTCATGGCTACAGAGATATTCAATATTCACTACAAATACTGCAATAGATTTTTTTTAAGTCAGTGCAATGAAATCTGCTTTGAATTTCATAGCTTTTACAGTAACTGAACTACAAATTTTACAGTTATTTAAACCCTGCCTTTGTCAAAGAAAATTCATTTTCTGGGCCCAACACAGGCAGTACTGACTTCCAGTGCTGCAAATTTCAAGCACAGCTTTAAGTCCTCTGCACAGGGATTCCCGAAGCGTTTTATAAGCTTTACCATTATAGCCCTTCCCACACTAGCTAACCAAATCCAAACAGCGAGGTACGTGATATTACATCACGTACCTGCGTTAAACACAGCTATTTTGAATGAGGATTTTCTGGATGGGGGCAGGGAGAATTGCTCTGCATATAGGTTACACACTAAAAAATGTAAAGGTCTTCAAATAAAAATGGTAGAAGAAAATTACCTCACTGTGTTCCTGCTAATATGAAAACATTAGAACTCTGTTACTTGGTTTTAAAGAGGAAAACTTGGGGGATTCAGCACATGGATTATTACCCCAGTTCTTTCACATTCCTAACTCTGGAGACCATCTTCCCTCCCATTTATGAATGAAAAACACCCTTTTCGCAATGACCCCAAGTTAATTCTCTGAACATTAGAAAGACATATATTTCAGCTGCCTGTAATTTAAAGTAGCAGCGGCAAACAAGAAGATGATCTAGCTTTAGAGCAGCCAGCTACTGCAGGCCACCACTGATTCACAGACATTATTAAGAAATTACTACTGCAAGTCTGTTTACCACATTTAAATTATGTTACAGTAGCAATGCCACCACAGCATCTATTTATAGAAATAATTTCACCCAACAAGAACAGTAACAAAAAATAGTTAACATTGGAATGAGAGCATCTGACTTCATCCTGTGACTTTGCCGCAAACTTCTAGGATGTGAAAGCACTGGAGGACAACAGCAAACTACCAGGATGTTTGGGGGTATTCTGCCCTCAACAGAACTGAAGTTAGACAGTCACCAAAATGGAAAATAAAAATAAAAGACATGGTCAGTAGCTTAAAATGGTTCTATATCTCAAAGTACTTCAGTGTTTCTGGTAAATTGAAAACAGCCTGAAGAAATAGCAGCCATCAGTGTACTTGGAACATCACAGAAAAGCCACCAAAATGTAACTGAATTCAATACAATTGGAAAGAAAACATGTCAAGAACTAACACAGAAAAACAAATGCTAAACAATTCCAAAAAGACCTTAAAGACTCTTCACAAATTCAAAATGGAATCCCAATTACAAACAACAGAAGGCAGTAAAACAAAGCAAGAAGATGTAAAATGAAAAGTAAAGTGCAAAGGTCAAATATGTCAAAGCAGCTCTTTTAAATATATCGGGGGAGGTCTGTAAGAGCATGTGCAGGTGTCTGAATTTTCCAGAAAATTAACAATTATTTAAGAAAAGTAGAGGCACTGCGGAGAAATGAACTACTTTACTTCTTGGCTAAATGCACAGTAGACTTCTTGAAACTGGTAACAAGTTTCTACCTGCAGGTGTTCGTACAAGTCATATAGGTACATGTATATCTGTACGCAAACATACAAATGTTCACACAGGCCTTTTTCACAAACAGAATTCAGATATGCAAATATAAAAGTCAATGTGAGAACAAATTAAAAAACACGTTAAAGGTATTTTGGAAGAAACAAAACTAGAAGGCCATAAAAAAGAAGCATGGCCTCACTAATGATAACCAAACATCAAAATATTTTTAGAATTGTATTTGACATCTCAACGTAGAATACCTCTGTCAAGTACAAATATTCTTTCTGCAAGCCAGCTCAATCAATACCTGGCATATTTGATTGTTGATAAACAACCTCCATTATCAAAAAAGGTTTGCTAAAGCAAAAAAAGCACATGACAGGGAATGACTAGATGACTGCTTCTAATTTAACCCTCTGCTCAGTGAGTTACAGGATATACAAATAAGGCCTGTGAACTTATATTATTAGAAATATTTTCTGAAGAAAACATGACTATATTTGTCATAGATCATATTACAAACAGGAAGTTGATTCCTGGCAAGCAGAAAAAAAAATTCTCTACCTTCTTAGGGTCCATGTTGAATTTCTTTCTTCCCATGGCTATTTGCTTATTTCTTTGTGTAGTTTTGCTACACGTGGAGAAAAAGAAGAAACAACAAGCAGTTATTGATTGCTCTTTTACAAAACCAACAACTTCTGGATGAGCTTCTTTTCATTTGTATTTTGGCTACTTTGTATTTTCTATTACAAAAACAAGACATTCACTTTTTATACAGGGGAAAATTATGTTACTATTTTCAATTCTTTCAAGTGATTGCAGCTTCAGGGAACTGTATCATTATCAACTGGACAGTCTAAAATATTACATTCTATCCAACATATTCTCTATCCAAACAAATGACACACCTGAACAGGATAAAGTCAGGCTTTAGAAACTTTGTAAGAGACTGAATAAAGGTGATCCAATGTTTGTTGACCATGATGAAGCTATTTTTATTTGCTGTTCCTGGAAGACCTGTTCCAAGGCCTTACTGAATCATGTCCATATGTTAGCATTACTTACCTTTCTTCTACACTAGTCAGATTATCAATTTCTGTCATAACCTCAGCAATTTCAAATTTTAATCTCTGCCAAAAGAAGGAAGGACAATATGTTAACCTACCTTAAAACACTTTTTGAAATCATCTATCATATATATTAATATGACCAGTTAGGTTTTATTTTCTAATATTTGCTAGTTACCTGAAGTGATGAATCATGTGACTTCCTTAGATATTTAGCTTAAAGATTTTACCACAGCTGAATGACTGCTAAACACTTGTATCTGAACTCCCAGTGTGTGCTCATGTCACAGCATCAAGACCAAACTGCCATTACCAATTTCAGTGTAAGAATTCTTTACCCAAATTTCTCTACCCAAATTTCTCTACTCACTCCTATTCTGTATGCAAATCTCCTGTTTAATGAGTTATTGATTACACAAATCAAATGTGTACATATGCACATATTGCATTACGTAAACACAGAAGTTAGCATTTTTAAAAGCACACAAATGATGCATAAATCCTATTCATTATTAGTAAGATTTAGATTAAGCCATTTATATGCTTTTAAAAACATTACCTGGAATTCATACCTAGTTATGCAGTTTACTGTAACTTAATCTACTGAAGCAGTCTTCTAAGGTTCTTTACAGATAAATCAATTACCTCAATATCATCAATCAGTTCTTTTTTCCTGCGACGAATATTTAAAAGCTCTTCTCTTTCTTCTATGGAGAGGTCATCAGGCACTGGAATAGAGCAAAATGTACAGCCTTTTAGCATTTGTAAACATACCTCATCACAGAAAACTGAATAAGCCTGATTAAGAAAAGTAAGTTTACATGAAACATCAGGGCATTTTTTTTAGCTGGGATCATTTTCAGGAAAAAAAAAAAAAAAAAACAACACCAAACCTAATTTATTGGAATTCTACTTTATAAAATTGTAAGTAATGTAACTGAATGAATGACTATGGACAGAAACTATCTCTCAAAAGAAAGGTAGACAATCAAAGAGAACTTGTTGTCCTACAATATGTGGTAAGATTTGGCTCTACAGCTGCATTGCCAAATTCAAGTCTGATATCCTTCCAATTATTTCAGTAACAGACCAAAATTCTTCGCGTCAATGAATTATGATTGAAAAGACATTACTATCTTTCAGGGAAAAAAGCCAAAGAAAAGCCAAAGCTATATACAACTCACTACCGAGATGTGTACCCTGGTGCTGATTTCAGACAACATCAGAATTTTAGCAGTACCCCTTCATTTGGTTGCTTTGTAGAACAGAGATGCAGGTAAGTACGATACTACTAACGTCCTTAACAGCAAATACTTTCCATCAATAGGATATATAAATAAATACATGATCAGAATCAGTTATTTAACACAGCATATCACAAACTTACGTGTTTGTATGACAACGTTTAAGTGAGTCTGAAATATTTAAGTCAATTTTAGGTCTCTCCTTGGCTATGCTAAAACAAGTATGTTACCCTGTTGATAAAAATTACTTGCTACTGAAGATACAAACATGTTTCTGTACGCTGCTATAGCTGTCACGCTCTAGCAGCAGTGCCTTACCCTGTAGTCTCTGCCTTGCAACCAGCAAACGTGAGAAATTATTTGCACAAAACCTCTGCTTTTCTTGAGCAATTAGATTTTCCCTAGCAAGAAACTTCTTTGGACAGAGATTATTCTCACTTACTTGTACAGCACTGGACATCAACCACAAATATTCACCTCCTTTGCAATGATCCTATAATAACAGTTTTACCGCTACCCACTTTCTTGGAAACAGCTCCTTAATTATAAACAGCTTTTCCTTCTAGCTCAGTAAAATGGAACAACAAAAATAATTATTAAGATATTTAAATGGTTCCATCCCAACAGCAACACACAACAAATGCAATCATTTGGGATGGCCAAAGCTGTTTCTTTATGTCATATACACATGTAACAGACTGTAGCAACAGGATCACAAGCAAAGGTTCAGCCTGACAGGAGATTTTTTAGACACATTTGAAACACAGCTTCTGTTCAAATCTGAAATATATTGATTATTTTCAACGTCCAGTGGTTAAGCTCCTTTCTTTTTAGGATTCGAATCGTAACATAAAATCCAAATGGCAACAGACCTTGTCAGACATGAAGTAATTATGGCAAATGATCTCATTTAACTACTCCAGATACAAACATGATTAAATTACTTCCAGTTTAGGAAATGACAGTCTTCTGATGAACAAATGAATACCAGACTTCAATATGTTTACCTGCTTTTTCCCTTCATCTCATCAGAAATCTACCCACTCCTAAAAATTCCTTGCATGCAAATACCAGTAAGATTCTTTTCACATCAAACCTTATAAATACATGTGTCTACATCACATCTTTGTCTTACATGTATACTCTAAGATCTTAAACCATCAAAACTCAAGAGATTTTATGACTATACAAACACTATGTACATACACATACCACAAATATTCCAATTAGTTAACTGAGGACTGACAATAAAAAAAAAAAAAAAGACAACTGTTATGCAATGTTGACTATTAAAAAGGCAAACTGTGTATAATCAATCACTCTCTTAGCTAGGAAGTATGCTCAAGTATCCTTAAAGCATTTTTGTAGTATTACATCGGTAGATGAAATTAGATTAAAATTTTGCAGTACCAGTATTAGTTAAGGGTTCTTCATTTTTTAACTTTTTGCCACAGGAGACATTTCGGTAACTCTCACCTTCGTTGGCAACTGGAAATACTTGTGACAACCCAAATAGAAAATAATTTAAGCATTAAATATTTAGAATTCATAGATGGTGCTTTATTTTTCTTCAAGCTCAGCTACAAAATCTCTGGATTAGCTGCTATCACAAACTCTTCCCAAAGCAGAATGTCAGCGAGTGGTAATGCAGTTTCTTCTCCCTTACATTACCGTGCAGTGAAAGCTCCTTGGGACAGGTCTGGAATATCTAGAACAGTGAAATCGCTATTTGGAATCAACACGAATTGGGACAGTTTTCTATGCTCAAGCAACCCACCTAAGAAAAGAAATCAAACACCTCGATCCTTTTCCTACAGCACCCAAAGTCTGACTGCTGTTTTTCCCTTTCCTCTGATCACAGCTGCAGCTGTGACAGCCCTCAGTATAATTAATGATGCTGTTAGACAAAAAGGAAATAAACTAAATGGAGTCAGACTGCCTTTTGCATTAGGAAATAACATCAAGTATCTATCTGCCAGATGCAAGACAAGAAAAGTCTGCTGGAAAAGAAGATTCTGCACTTGGAAAGCACTTATAAGACAGCACTTAGAGACAACTGCACATTAATGCCACATCTTTAAATAACGGTATTAGTATCAGAGCCAAAAGATTCCAGTATCTTTTGATAAGAATAAAAGAACCAGGATACAACTGAGTGTGGGTTACAGTGCTGCTCAGCTTCCAGAGCTACCGGCAGAGTCAATATTTCACTTCCACTCACACTACCAGCACAGAGAAGGGACGACTGACTGGTGGGATGACTCCTAAGTGCACTGTCCTATCGTTACCATAAATTGGCATGTGTGCAAGATATTGTTAGCCTTATTCTCATCCTTCTGTCGGTTGTGTATCATCACTACCTCCCTTCTCCAGCACTGCTATTCACGCTCATGAGAAAACTTACCAATGGGAAAATGAGCTCACCAAAAAAAAGGTTCTGAAGAGACTGTATGTGGCATTACAGCCTGCAACTTCAGAGGCTGAAGGTGCCTGCTCCAGGAGGCTATGTGACTTTATGTCTATTGTCCCTGTTCTTTTGATTCTCTGTCTTAAAACAAAATGTAACAATATTTCTGTATTTCAGTGAAGGCTTTTGAAATATTAACATTAGAGTATGTGCCTGCCTTACCTGAAAGGAAAGGAAGAGTAGAAGATATTCAACTGCAGCTAAAACCAAACCAAAACAAAAAAATCCCCACTAACACAGAAGGGCACCCACCATTAGTCAAACCTTTTCCTTACAAGTAAGGAAAAGTAAGGATCTACTCTACATTTTTCATGTCAATTATTCTTTGCTTTTCATTGCTCTCTAATGATTCTAAAACATCTAGAAAACATTCAAAACCCTACGTCTTACTTCTAAATAGATAAAATGTTTCCTCAGTGAAGACTCAGTCTTTCTAAGTTGAGCATGAGGTGCCTTACGCAACCTGCAATGCAGGGACCACAGTGAGAGCCTGAAAATAATTTTCTTTGGAAAGCAAACATGTAGAGCTGTGGTGCCCACCTGTTCTTAGAAAAATGGAATAAGCATTTGGAATATTTCCAGTTTGAAAAGAAAAATATTCATTTTATTTATTCAAAAAAATTGAAAGCCACAGTTAAGATGTTTGGCATCAAGGCTGATGTTAGACTCATGGCAAGCAAACAGGAGATCAAAAGTGGCCAACAAATAACAACAGTGCATTAAAACATCTTTACAGTCCTAAGCAAATATTGCAGACACATGAGAAGTGATGATCTGCCCTGGCAAGACCCCTTCCATAAGCCACCTTTTTGGCTTCAGCAGCTAGAACACTTCTGCTTTTTCTAACCTGGTGTTCACATAATCCTCCACACAGAAGAGCTCATAGAGCGTGTATTACATATTTGTTCTGCAAGACAAATTTTCTAGCTGTCCCCTCTGAGTCATTTCCAAGTTTTTTCTTTCACCAATCTAAACACAAAGTAGACAGGATGGGAGGAGTTAGCATGAACATTTAAATATTAAAAAAGAACAAAAGCATTTCAGTACAGTGAACAAACTGCAGCTACAGCACGCTTTCATGCTATCTTCTAATCTTTAAATAAAGACAATGTTCTAATTTAAGTCATTTGCGTGAAAACCTTGTAGCTTACAGGGAGAGTGTTTCCTTTTTCTAAAACTTCAGAGTTTCAGCTACTACTAAATAGAAAGTCAATATACATACTGATATTTTATTTAAGAGGAACAAAGGTGATGGAAGTACAAATTATATTCTTGGCCAAGTAGTAACAGACAAAAAACCCAACATCATATATGCTGCTACTACTACTACGCCTACTACCAATAGAAAAAAAAAAAAGAAAAAAAATTTCATGTATTCCAACTTGGCCTATCTCTGTTCAATTATCGTAAATTATCTAAATGTACTTAAATGAATTTCCTGTAAACCAACACATATTGGAATACACACTTTTAATACAGGTTTGTTGACTCTAAATGTCTTAGGAAAAAAACAAACAAAACCCAAACTGTAGCTTGTCACAGATATCAGTGCATTGTCCTGCAGCTGTGATGTCACTTTGTTAAATAATTTTCCACTACTGACAACCCAAGTACAGTACCCAAACAAAAGCATTAGCCCAGAACTGACATTTATGAAGACGTCACAAGCATTTTTGAGCAAGCAGGCACAAAAAAAAAAAAAAAAGAAAAAAAAAAAAAAAGAAAAAGTCTTTTCCAGATTGAGAAAGAACTGCAACAGATCAACTTGCAAATAAAGTCCCACAGGTTTGTGAAAATTAGGAGCAAATCCCATAATAGGAGACAGAAATCTAGTACTTTCCAAGTCCATACCCCTGATACCTTCATCTTTTTCAGTAGCAAAAATTAAATCCTTTCAAGCTCTCCAATGGTATTATATTAACCAAAACTCCCGTGTTTAATTTTTTTTTTCACTTATTAGCCTTTTGATCATCAGTCACCAGCCAAGGTCTAAAGCAATCTCACTCCAACACTTCAACTGACTTCAGAATTCAGTCTCTCAAGAGGACACAGTAGATTGTGGATTATTATCCACAGCCAGCAGAAAG